TCTCTCTCTCTCTCTCTCTCTCTCTCTCTCTCTCTCTCTCTCTTTTTCTCTTTCTCTCTGTCTTCTCTCCCCTTCCCTCACCCTCTCTTTTGGCATTGGGGAAAGTGGAGTGGAGAAGACTATACTCACTGAGGCAAAGACCCAGCAGAGGAAATAATATCAGCTTGGAGGAGTGGAAAAGCTCAGTTATTTGCAGTTAGATCTGGAAGGGAGTAACTGGTGATTATTAACTTGGTTGCACGGCACTCAGACAAGCAGGGCTACCCCAGTGGAGGCCATTTCCCTCGTGCGCTGGCAATTAAAGAGCCTTCAGTGCTAATTATCTCTCCATTCTTCTTTTAGAAGAGGGCAGAATGCATTTCTGTTTTTTGAAATTTTTTTTGGTTTTTTCTTCCGGTACCAGGAATCAAACTCATGACCTTGCGCTTGTCAGGCAGGCACTGTGCCGCTGAGCTGAATACCCAGCCCCTGATTTCTGAAGGCTCATTTGTCTGGAAAAGCAACCTGGTCTTTCATGCTCTAGGATGGGGAAACAGTCATCTTCTCCTGAAGTGGTGTGTGATTTGGAGTTGTGAATAGAAGGAAGGAAGAGGCATTTCCTTCAAGGTAGGCCCGGGAACACCTCATGACAAAAATAGTAGTAACTGCGGTTACTGAGTGCTTGTGATGACTAGACACTGTGCTGTTCACTTTTTTCATCTGGGCCCCACAAATCCTTTAAAGGGAGGAGATTGTTATTAATCTTTTACACATAAAGATATCATAGTAATGAGATGTTTATAAACTGGTTAAGGTCACACAAGAAGTTGGATGTAAACCCTGTACTGACTCCAGCTTAATCTGCCCCGAAATACTGGTACCTCAAGATGTGGTCACAGGAAAGGCAAGTAAAGTGGAAAATCTCATCCTCCCAAGCGCTTCAATCACCATGGTTCTTAGCTGATTCAATGTTAATCTGGGGATTAAATATATTTTTAAATTCTCTATTGGACTCCATTGGATGACAAGTGCATTTAATGTCCAATCTTCATGACAACGCCCATGAGCGGTTCTTTGGACCATGTTCTGAAGCAGCGCTTCCCAAAGTGTGGTCTCTGGACCCGCAGCATCAGCACTGTCTGCACAGCAGTTGGAAATGAAAATTCTTGATCTCCACACTAGGTTCCTCAGTAAGAAAATCAGGAGGACACTCAGCAATCTATGTGTTAACAACCATGCAAGTCCTGAGTTGCGTGCTAATGTTTAAGAATCATTCCTCTAGAGTACAAGTGGAGTTTTTTTCACGTGGAAAACATCAACTCTAAGATTTTCTTTCATTCTTTTTTTTTTCCTCTAAAAAATCTTTACCTCATTTCCAAGTCTTCATTCTCCTGTGGCACAAATTTGTACAAGGCAACATAGGTGTTTATCTGTAATGAGTCTTTGGAAGGAGGTCCCTGAATGAGAAAAATAAAAGAAAAATGAGAGAAAGAAGAAATTACAAGAGAAAATAAAGAAAATAGGAAACTGAGAAGTTACTGCAATGTAATTTCACGGTATGGATCTTAGGTGTTAAAAAACCATTATTAATGATTTCCTATCAACTTTAGGCTTATGTTTTATTTAACTGAGTTAGGTCTTATTAAAAACCATTTGAAAACAATTATTTGTAATACAATGTCAGAAGTACTGAAAATTTGTTCAAATAATTTTTTTCTTTCTTTTTTTGGTCATTGTTCCCCAAAAAGTGTCACAAGTTTGGGTCCAGGAATGGGAAATTTTTGTAAAGAAAGAAGGACAGGTAAATATTAATAAACAATCCTTATTTCCCCAAACTGACTTTTTGTCAACTTTGAAAGTTGGGATCTAGCATATAAAAGGGTACCAGGTTTATTCATCTCATTCATGTTAGTGAAAATGCACAGCTTTTAACATCAGACTGATATATTTTATATCATGGTGCCACCGCCTATTGGTTGTGAAATTCTGCAGTAATGATAATAAAGGCTACCAACTTTGATAGTTACTACGTGTCAGGCATTATGTTATATGCATTAGCATAATTTAACTGTGTAACAACCTGTTAGGTAGATTTTATTATAGTCTCCAACTTATAGTCTTGTAAGTATGATAAAAATATTAGTTATTATTACTAACCAAATAAATTATAATTACTACAGAAAACATATTTTATAATATAAAATTTACATTATACAATATATTATGCAATATATAATTGGATAATATGTTTACATTATATCAAGTATATTATGTAATAAATATATGATATAATATATATAAAACATAAAAGTTGCATACAATTATATATACCCTTTTCACCTATGACTTCCTCTACTCTTTGAAATAGTATCTTATACTCTATTATCCTATTCTAGCAAAATTATATGCATATCTCTATATATGAACATGTACAATATAATAAATGTATCTTTATATGCTACACAATTATACTAAAATTCAATAGTGTACACATTACATAGTACATATCAATTTTTGTGAAACCTAGGTGAGAGAAGCAAAAAGGGCACAATACAAAAGTTATCATTTTTGTGTTTATTCACCATGATATTGGTTTAATTTATATTATTATGCTATGGCACACTATGCTACATCATTCTATTTTATTCTCTAAAAATACTGGTCTGGGACCCACTAGGTGGATCTCATGGCCTCCTTGGGTTGTGATGTGCGGTTTGATCCAAGAGCTGCTTCCTATTTGATCTGCCTTCTGTGACTTCTTCCATAAATACCTGGTGGTTTATGTTTTTCGCTTGGTCGCTGAAATCATGGGTGCCATTTTCGGGATATGTAAACACTGAGGGAGACAAGAGAAATCAGATGCTTTATGAATCCAATCACTGTAACTTAAAAAACATGATTGAAAGATGTCACTTTATTCCATGCATCGTAGTTTTTACCTTACTGATCCTTGTCCTTTCCTCATCTTCCCTTGGCCCGCTTTCATGTCCTCTCCCATGAGATGCTTCCCCTCCTCCCCACGCAGCACCCTGCATTCTGTGAGCTCCCACACGCTATGTACCTGCCCAGCAGGCACTTGTGCCTTGCATGGGTGGGGGATGTGTGCTTCAAACTTTGTCTCATTTGACAGTGTTCTCCTTAGGAGCAGAGGCCATGCCATTCATCTTTACTGACTGTATCAAATCACTTATACATGGGACGGTGGGTGAGGTATAGTTCAATCTAGTGCATTTAATTACCTTTTCTAAGTATCAGGTTATTTAGTCTATATTCAATATCTTGATTCTAGTTCTTTAATGATATCTGTATTGTATTTTAAAAATTAAAGCTTTATTTTTAAACTTCAAAATATTTCTCTGATCTCTCACTTTCAATGCATTATGGCTATTATATGGTTTTTCTTTCAGTTTACAATTAGACTAATAAATTATTAGTATAATTCTCATTTTTGCATTTAAGTAGCCACTCTCTGGCCTTCATAGGGAATAAACTTCTCAAAATGGTCAGGATTTCATTGTCCACATGAATAGCTGTGGGAGGTCCCTGAATGAGACAGGGCCTCTGCCTCAGCTAACTTGATCAGCCAAATTGAGTTGCCCCCACTGACCAAATTTAGAACCTGTCCTTCTCATAAGAGGTATCTTCTTTAAACAATGTGGTAAGTGTTTCCAAATTTCTATAATAGAATTGTGGTGTCTAAATTAATCTACCAATTGACTGACTTGGCATTTTAAAATAATGCATTGATGCTTTATTCTTTCCTTTCATTTCCCCTCAGATTCTGAAGCAAATCTGAGATTTGCTTCATCACGGGATGCTCTATAACGTATTTCATTAGTGTGTTGACAATCTCTACTGTTCTTAAAATAGACTCCATAACTGTGAAATGTAAAACACATTTCAGAACATGAGCCCCTGGAAAAGTACAGAAGCTTTTTAAATCTCTATTCTCCTCAGTTTATATTTCCAGAGTTTATGGATACAATTCCATTATGCCTAGGAAACCCATATGCAATCATTGGCATGCCTTTGGTTCGTGGGTAACTAGAACACAAGGCCTGATTCCATGGGCCTTGTCTGCCTTATTATCTGGCAACTGAACTTGGCATTTAGCAGTTTAAATAGGGCAGAGACCAATAACATCTTTATCTGGTATTGTGTGCCTATCTGAAATCCTGCTGTAAACACTCGATCCTATAAAACTGGATTCTTCTAAAAGAACATTAAATATTTGAATGGGAACATGTGAAAAGAATCTTTGTAAGAAATTCTTGGTTGGAGTAAAAAAGGGGAGCTACAGAAAGTGTGTATGTAGTATTCAGTATGGGCTGATTCTATAATTCCACATTATTTTAGCTTTATTTATGAATATCCATGGGGTCATCAACTTCAAAATGTGTACTATTCTTGTAAACTATGTTGAAAATTTTTTGAAGTGACCTTAAATGTGCTTGCAGATACATAATTAAAAAGCATTAGAAGGCTGCAAAATGATTTTTAAAATCTATTTCTCTAAGCTATTTCTAGGACTTTAAAGTAAGAAGACAAAAGTGAGGTAACTCTATTAAAACATTTGCATATATGTCCTATTTTTAGTGTTCCAAATTATTTTATGAAAAAATTTGCTTGTTTATTTTAATACTCATGATGAGTATTCAAAGAATATTTCCATTAATATTTTCCAGTATTATAGAAACACAATAATCTTAAGCTTTTGCCATGTCCTCAAAGGACCTTCTATTCCACTATCTGTCTTGCCCTTTTACTCTGCAGCTCTGCGAAGCCCATGTCAGTTGTGCTTTCTGAAATGATTATTTGTTTTTTTTAACCTGAAAATGCAATAAATTATATAACTTAATTGTCAAATTTGAATCCCTGGCTTAAGTCTAAGTTTGTTGTTATACAATACTTTTAAAAAACATATTATTGGGTTCAGTTTGCTAGGATTTTGTTTCAGATTCTGCATCTGTATTTAAGAGGGAGACCAGCCAGGGATCCTTTCTTCGTCCTTGTTTGGTTTTGAAGTCAGGTTGTAATAGCCTCGTAAACCAAGTGAGAGGACATCGCTGCCCTTCCTCACTGTGGTACCCTGCCTCTATGAAAGGGCTTATGTAATCTGGAAATTTTCTACCACTTAAATGTTGGTAGAATTTACCTATAAGGATGTATGAGCCCGACATTTTTATTATGTAAAATTTTAAATATTGATTCAGTTTTTGTAAGGGTAAAAACAAAGCAAGCTTTCTATTTCTATTTCTTCTGGAATTAGGCTTTAGTTACTGATATCTTTCTGGGTATCAGGCCTTTTAAAAAAAATTTAAAGTTTATTGGCATGAATTTGGTTATGGTATTCTTTTATCTTCTTTTTAATTTCTATTGTTCTTTTTATATTATTGCTTTTGTTTTATTCATATTTTAAAAATCAGAGATATAAATTTTATTTAATTTATTTATATTTATTCATTTATTTATTTACTTATTTTTTGTCTTTTTGAGACAGGGCTTTGCTATGCAGTTCAGGCTGGCCTTGAGCTCAATTTGCATGCAGCCCAGGCTAGCCTCGAACTCACAACAATCCCCCTGCCTCAGCCTCCCGAGTGCTGGAATTACAGGCGTGTACCACCACACAGCATAAATTTTATCTTTAAAAAATGTATTCATGATTCATAAATCTTTGTTCAAAATTAATAATTTTTGCTTTTACCTTTATTACTGCTTTTTGGAGTTTATTCTGTTTCATTTTCAGACTCCTTAAGAATGGTGTTTAGATTGTTTCTTTTCAGATTTTCTTTTTTTTTTTTTTTTGGTTTTTCTCTGGTACCAGGAATCGAACTCACAACCTTACGCTTGCCAGGCAGGCACTGTGTTGCTGAGCTAAATCCCCAGCCCCAGATTTTCTTATTTTTTAATAAAATCATCTTAAAGTTCAGTTCTTTAGTTACAATAAAACTATCCCACAAGGTATGATATGTAGTTTTTGATTGTTACTTAGTTTCAAATATATTCGGATTTTCATTATGAATTCCTCTTGACACATGAACTTTTAAAAAGTACGTTAAAATTTATCAAATTAATGATTTTTCTAGATATTTTCTGAGTATTATTTTTATCTTATTTGTACTATGGATAGGAATATGAATATTAACTATTTGAAATGTATGAAGTTTATTTTATGGTCTATAGATTGATAATTTTTATAATTGTTCTATGTGTTTTTAAACAGGTGAATTCTACAATTTTTGGATGGAGGGTCCTTTCTAAGTCAATTAGTAAAGATTGTCAAATGTGTCACCAGATCCTCTGTATCTATACTGAATCTTTTTGTCTGACTTGCCAATATGTGAGAGGCATGTTAAAATTTCATACTGTTAAAGAGAATGTCAATTTTCCTAAAAATGTGGTCAACTTCTTGAGTTTGTATCATTTTGAGGCAATGCATCAGGCATATGCAAGTTTAGAATTTACAACTTTGGATGAAATGAACATAATTATTTAATGATGCTTTTTATTTCCAGTAACGCTTTTTTGGTCTTAAACTCCATTTTGCACAAAGTAACATAGCTACATAATTTTTCCTTTGCTTAATATTTTTCTGATGTAATTATTTTATTCCTTTGTATGTATAACTAAAAAATTTTCTGTGGTTTTATTTTTCATTCCTGTGATAACTTTAGAAAGTTCGTTAACTTTTCAACTTTCTATGTCCTTATGTTTTAGATTATGTTTTATAGATCACTTAAAAATCAAGTCTGAAAACCTTTTTCTTTTATCTACAATACTTAGTTGGCTTGCAGTGATTTTGATGACTGATAAATTTGAATTCCTGCCTAAACACTTTATTTTGTATTGCCTATTTGTCCTAAGTTTCTATGCCTTTGCTTCTGTATTTCTCCTTCTCCCCTTCTTTCTTTTGAATTGCTTGCTTTTCCTTCTCATCATTCAACTTTGTTTCCTTTCTAGTTTGCAAGGTTTCATCTAATTTTTTATGTTTTGAACTTTTATGAAGCACATGTTAATAAACCTAAACTGAATTCATATTTTTAATCTCATCCTACATGAGAATCTTTGAATACCTGTGTACATAGCAGTGTTTTAGATAACGTTTTCTTAATAACTTAATTTTTACAAAGCTAATATTTACCTAGATTTAACTGTGTTTACACTTTGTTCATGATTTGCTCTTGCTTTTCATCAGTTTTGTTGGGCTTTGCTTTATTTATGAGTTCTCTCAGTACATTAAAGATAATATGGTACTGTTGTTTAGCTTCTATTGTATGTTGTAAGAAGTGGCTTGTAATAACTTTTATTGCTTGTAAGTAATCCGTCTTTGAGCCTGCATGCCTGCATTTAATGTTCTCTTTTGCCTTTGAAGCTACGCAGTTTCACCTACATGTGTTTAAGTATAATTTCTGCACTGTCTTTAATCAATTCTGGAAAATTCTTGGTCAGTATTCTCACTATCGTTTTTCTTTGTGTACTTCTTTTTAAGATGTCAGTTAGATGCCTGTTGGATTTCCTCACTCACCCCCCCGTCTCTTTTACTCTAACAAATCCTACTGCTTTTTTTTTTTTTTTCTTTTTAACTAGATGTACTCCAAGTTCTTTGGCTATATATTTTCTGGGGTTAATTCTCTCTTCAGCTATGCTATTAAATTAATCAGTTACATTTCTTTAAAAAAATCTAAGAGTTCTATTTGGTTTTTCTTCAAATTTTCCTACTTAATTTTGATAATTTCTTGTTCTTTTGCTATGTTTAAAGTATAATTTAATATTTCAAATATATATGACTATGTAGTCATATTTCTTTATTTGATAATTCCAACATATTCATTCTGAGAGTTTGATCATAATATTGGTTGTTCCTGCTCTCTGTCACTTATGGTGGTTCATTTTCTTATATTTGGTGAATTTAGCTGTTAGCTCGTAGTCTTTGCAAGTTAATTGTTGGAAGTTTTGGAGGTCTGAGTTAAAATTCTCTTCCTCCAGAGAAGGTTTGCATTTCCTTGTGCTAAAAGCATGATGATCTTATCAATATTGGCATTTTAAATTAAGTTACACAGAAATTTCATGTTATTGTACTTAACCTATACAGGTGGTGTAAGTTCAGACCCTAAACAAGAAGACTATTTCCTTTTCCCCTCCTCCCTCCCTCCCTCTCCCTGTCTTTGCCCCACCCTCTCCTCTTCCCTCCTTTATTGTCTCCTTATCTTTTTCCTTCCACCCTCCTGTTTCTGTCTCCTCTCTCCTTCTCAAATGAGTTAAAACTGGTACAACACACTCCTCTGAAAGTCACTGAATTCTCCTAGTGACATGAGGGTGCCTTTTGAGGTATCAACATTTTCCCAAAGGGTCTCTCATCTAACTTATTCTGCTGCACAAACCCCAGGTTTTGTCTCTTGTAAATTCTAAGGAATTGTCTTATTTTGTTGCCATGCATTGATTAGCAATTTCATTTTCATTCTCTTTTCTAATAGTTTTATGAGTGTTAAAATTGGAAAAATGTTCTCTGTTTTCCATATGGCTGGAAAGTTCTCCATATCTTTGTCTCCAACAAAAATCCAGTTCTCCATGTGGCTGAAAAGAGACTTTTCCATGTTTTCAAAGAGAGCTTTACCTGGTCTAGAAAATGTGTGTAATGCAGGAACACTAGTAAGTATTTACATCTGCAATTTAAAAATTGTCCAATGGGAGGGGGGCAAGACCAGGGGCAGTGGCATATTGAGCCACTAAAATAGTTCCTTTTTTTTGTTATTGTTTTGGTTGTATGGTGATGTCTTAAGATTTGAGATATAGAACAAGTGAATGTTAAAAGCAAGAATAATTTTTCTGAATCTCAGCTTGTCTTTTTTCTTTCTGGGCAAAATTTCCTTGCTTAAATACAAAGGGACCTAATATTAAGTTTTGTAATATCCTCAAGTGGATGTGATAAACTCGGCCCTTTTTGAAGAAAATTTCTAGGAATTTATATGTCTTGTTCTCTCTATTTGTCTTCCAGGAAAACTGATCACATAGAGCCATGCAGAAACACATTTATTGAAGGCAGCCCATAACTTGCTATTTGGCATTTTGAGCTGAAATACGAATCCTGGACATTGCTTCTCCTTTTGGTTGTTACTTTGTTATAAATGAAGTTTCTAACAGTTAAGCCAAGGGCAAAGACCAATAAATATTCCATCTCTATGACCCATCTATGAATAGTGCTGACAACAAATGGAAACATTCAGTGCGGCTTAAAATAATTTATAAGAGAGAAAATAGAGATTGCACTCTTAACAGTAAAGAAATTGGTAGGAATTATAGCTTCCTTTAAGGTGGCTTTTAGAGATGTTCCTCAGGAAGTCTGACATAATACCTGGGAGGAAGAAATAACACCTGTATGCACTTGGTGTGTTTTTGAAGGACATAAATGAAACATGTAATGCAGAACTGATTGTAACTAGGACCCTATACACTGCTTATGAAAAGCCAATGAACAAGAAGACTCTTAGGAAACTGAACTCCAAGAGCAAAGTATTCTCTCCATGGTGTTTCTCAAATTGCATGGACAGGGGATTTAAAATCAATCAAAGAAAAATATTTTTAAACCAACTGCTGCATAATTAATCCCCTTTGCTTCTAAGGGTATACTGTAAAGAAAACTATTTCTGATCAAAGGAATTGTTCATAAATATCTAAGACTTTTAAAAGTTTATAGCACGCTGAATACTTGCAACACAACTCTTTGAATAAGGCTGTGAAATTGCCCCTTAATGGAAAATGATCAACTTTGTGTCTTTGAGTGCATTACTGTGGAACTTAATTTCTTCCTCTGTATGGTATGTGCTGCATGTGTGTGGTGTACTGGAGGGGAAGGAGTTAGATTAAATGACTTCTGATCCTACTCCTCAAATATTAGTGACCATATAAACCATAGATCCCTTACAAAGTCAGGTTCAGGAGGTCTGGGTGATATGAAATTCTGCACTTAGACTCCCATGTAGTGCCCAGGGCACTGGCCACAATTGAGTCTTTAGCCTACACTTCTGACCAGTGATGACATTATGATAGATTTATTAATAACAGCTATGCTTTATATTGATGATTCCTACGTATATCTGTTTACATTATAAAATCCTCATAAGGCCACCTTTAGGGATAAATCCCCAGGGTAAATAGGGACCTTAAGTACTAACTGGATAACAATGGCACTGATAGAGCCACGCAGGATGGCTGAGAGTTAATGGTGGGTGTTTGCTGAGTATAATTCTAAGAAGCTGCTTCTAGGTTTTCTGACAGAGTGGATAATGAGATGTGAGAAGAAAGGGGAATCAGGGTTGATACTAGAATTTGGCCTAATATATTTGTCAGATTAAGTTCCCCTTTACTGAGCAGACACAACTGTGGGAAGAGCTAGTTTGAGAGTGTGGGTGAGAGAATCACCCTGCGTGTTAGCTCCATGATGCCTGATGTACTCTCAGAGGGCCATTGTTCCTAGGCTACACACATCGGAGGCAGCAAAGAAACCTGATGCTGGAGATGAAGTCTGGGTGCTATCAGTGTGTGGACAGCATTTATGCTTGTGATCTCTCAAGATCACAGCAACCCTATGGATCTGGTGTAATTATTTTTCATTTTAGAGACAGGATGATTGACTAGATCACTGATTCAAGATCACAGGATCATTTAGTGAAGTCTGACTGTCTGCCCCCAGAGAGGAATGTGCCAAGGACCACGTGTCCAGGACTGTTGGTGGCAAGGGGCCATCAGCAATGTTGGTGAGAAGTATGTCAGGGGAAGATGAAGGCAGGAGTCAGACTCAGGACTCAGCAGCGGAGCAGACTTGAAGCAAGAACAAGAAACTCTGATGTATATTTCAGGCTCTTGTGTGTTCCCTAGATGTTGAACTTTGGAGTTGTTGGCCAAATTCAGTTCCTGGACCTGCAATGCCAGGTTGATTTTGCTAGGATGTACCTGCGGTGTCACTGCCTTCGGTGCAGTTTCTCTAGCAGCCAACACCCTTTACTTTGTTTTTCTAATAGCACTGGTAAAACTTCAACTTCAAATGTTTGTATTGATCTAAATGTACAGTCTCCCTTATGTGATGCTGAAGAATCCTTAGTCTAGCAGCAAAGTTTAGCACATGAGGTGTGTGCATGGCAACAGGGGCTATGGTGGACGCTGATGCTTATTTAGGGATGAGAGTCACAGGGGCAGCTAAGTACACGATGCCTTGTGGGACTCACATGGGCACGGTCCTGACTAGAGATGAGAAGTGAGTGAATTCCAGAGTGAAGGAAATAGAAGCGATCCCTAAGACAGCTCCTGACCAAGCAGGTTGTGCTACAGACTATAAAACTTCTGCCTCCAGGCTGGAAGGGGAAAGAGGAAGGACTAGTCAACTGGAAAATCTATGCAATACCTCCATGCTTGGCCTGCAGGGGCTGGAGCCTGGAGGCACCATGTCTGCCATAAAAATGCCTTCAGCTGAGCACAGTTCAGGAGCTGTACCCTCACTAGACAGACAGCAAGGTAAGCACAGGTTTTGTGACTGTTATTTTGCTGGTGATACTAAATACTTCCTAATTTTTTATTGCTAAATGAATGATAGTAACTGACTGTTAACATCAAAAGGATTTAGCAAGAAGGAATCCATAAAGGCCTGGCTGTGTGTCTTTAACCTGGTCAAAGAAGTGGTTCCTTCTTAATATTAGCATGCAATATGATATAGTTAGCAGTTAATAAATATTTTAGAAATTATTTTAAAAAGAGCTCTAGTTATCAGAAGATTAAATCATATCGATAAAGAATGTTTAGCTGGATTATATATGTCAGTTTTTGAAAGTCTTAGTTGTTTGTGCCAGGAAAGGAGCAAAGTATAAGGATTATATTACCCTCCCTGTTACCCACTTACTCCCCCTCAAAGCTGGTTTCAGGTATCTCAGGTGTAGCACAAAGTAGCTTCTCTGGGGGATGGTTTTCAAATCTAACTTAGGTTAGTGGAGAAATAACACATTCACTAAAAGGTCTGGACATGATCCCAAAGTTCAGTATGGCTAAGCCCGTGCAGTTTGAAAATGCTAGGACCAGATTCAGGAAACTGTTAGAGTCAAATCAGTGAAGCTGGCCAGAAGATATGCCCAGTTTTCCTGCAGAATACAAAACACTTGCTCTGGTTGGATTTCAGAGCTAGAGAAGAGAAACAGGGGACTGGAAACTGACTCTGCCTGCCCACTGCCCCTGACTAACGTGCTCACATCTGCACCAGTCAGCTCCCTCACTCACCGCTGTTGCTGCGTTTCCTTGGGTCATACCCTTCTCCCAGCCCATCGGCCTCTTCAGGAACTTCCACGAGATCTGAAGTCTTGGAGGAAGGCAGAAACAACATGGAATAAGTAATGTTTTATCAGTGGGCCGACTGAGCAGTGATTTTGATGTCAGCAAAAAAGCAAAGGTGAACTTTGGGTGATGTTTGTGAATCTGATGACAGTCCTCTTGCCTGAGGGTAACTTCATAGAGAATGTGTGACCCCTCTCCGACCTCATCCTTCCCTTCAGGTGTCTGTGGCAGGATCAGGCTTGACCATGACAGGTGCTCAAAGAGAGCTGAGTGAGGGCCTAACTTCAAGGCCCATATCCTACCATTTTGAATTTTCAGTGAAACTACAGCTTTTTTAACAGGTGAATTTTAAATAATAATTACAGAGAATAAGGTCCACCACAAATAGATGCACTAAACAGTTAAATGCAAAGTCAATTGTTTTTAATAATTATTCTACTGGTTGAAAAATAAGCCACCATCATTCTTCCACTTAGATAATAGAATAGCAAAGACAATAACAACAGTATCAGAACCCAAAATAGCTAATGAATCTTGATTGTTTATTATGTGCTATTTTTAATTACTTGTATGTATCACCTCATTTGTTCTTCACAATAATCTTACGACAGACCCATTTTTTTCAGAAAGGAATCAGAAACCTAGACTCGTAACTCGATGAGTCATTTACTCTAACCCCTCCCCTCCAATACACCACACATGCAGCACATACCATGCAGATAAGGAAACTAAGCTGCACAGTAAAGCACTCAGAGACACAAAGTTGATCACTCTCCATCTCTTGTACTTTAAGGGGCAATTTCATAGCATTATTCAAAGAGTTCTGCTGCAAGTATTCAGCATGCTACCCATTTTTAAAAGTTTTAGGTATTTATGAACAATTCCTTTGATCAGAAACTGTGTTCTTTACAACACACCATTAGAAGCAAAGGGCATTAATTATGCAACTCAACACAATTGATTGTGAATGGAAGTGGGACAGGGAGCCTCAGGCCCTGCACCAGAGTTTAGGCTCTTAAGCTCTGTTTCCTCCAGTGGTGACCCGGCTCCACAGCTCCAGGAGCCTCCAGGGTCATCACACTGCCAGCTTGAAACTGATCATGGTGCGGATATTTACACCATGGATTTGGCAAACTCTACCTGGTCCAACTTGGCAATTAAACATTTAGCAGCACAGCACTGACTGCTTCTTTCAAAGGACCAGGTTATACATTTTTTGTCTACCTGACCTCATCCTCTTCAGAGAGGAATTTAGTGGACCCACGAGAAAAGTGAAGTTTGAAAGTAACAACTATTTTTATGTTATGAGAGGGAACAAGTTTTCCTTCCTGCTGTCCTAGTCAGCTCTAGAGCACTTCAGCACCCATTTCCAAGACTGATTTTTGTTAAAGATTAAGTTTAAGATTTTTTCGTTCAGTTTTACTTTCATGGCACATCAGAAAGAAAAAACTAAACAGCACAAACAGTACAGGGTCCCTAGGTCACTCATACCCTGCTCCCTTTGAAGCTCATAATTTCTGCACAAAAGTTACTCTGCGGAGAATTTCATTTATTTAATTTAGTCTTATGAAACTGAAGATTATTCATAAGCAAGTCAAGTAACTCCCAGAATGGTTTTTTAAAAATTTGGTTTCTGCGGGCCTCTTCAAAGCCACCATGTCTTTTAGATTCTAAGAACATTTGAAAACATATTAAAGAAAACATAATGATTTGGAAACAGTCAAGCAGTGACTTCCCGACAATGTAAAACAAATGCCTCTCTAGTCCTGGCAGAAAATAATCCTGTGGACTAATGCTTTGCTATGTGGGAATCTGCTAGCTTTAGGGCATAAAAATGCTAAAGAATGGCAAGAGGCTGCAGTTCATTATCACTTGACCCTGCAGGAAGTAAACAAAATCATTTTAAAGTGCCAATCAATTGCTTTTGTTTTCTTCTACTGAGGCAAGTTGGGCTTTGGGGGCGAGTGAAGTGACAGATGTTTAAGTACAGTTTGATTTGTCTTTGTCTCTGAAGCTCTCAGAACAATGGCTTCATTAAGCAAACTTCCGAAAAATATTCACTGATAGAAGCAGTGCCAGTACAACTGGACAGTGACAAATGACAACTTATTCACATTCAGAAACTGTGTAGTTGTTCTGCCCTTAGAATCAGTCCATAAGGTCCAGATGTTACTAGAAACAAAGCCGCACTAAAGAGGAAAGCAGCTGAGCATCCTTCAGTTGTCTCTCTGCGTCTTGCTGCGTCTTAGTAGCTTCAGCCAAAAATGTAGCAGCTGAAATGTTCATTGCTTATTATGGGATGTGTCTGAAGATATCTGCTTGTTACAAGTTCAGGGAGAACCACAGGAGCAGACACCTGTTGCTTGTGTGGACAGTTCAGGATAATAACTAGGGAGCCTCTTCTCTGCTCTGATCTCTCAATTCTGTATTTCCATTTACCCTTCTGCCAAGGCTGGCCTCACACAAGCACTTGCTGCAGTAGAAGAAATATAATGTAGAGATTATATATAGGACGGCTCAGTATGCAGTTAAAGTGGACAGAGGTTTCTTTGCTCTGGCCAGTTTTATTTGTGCTTTCGCTTTTCATTTCTGGACGGTAGCTACAAAAGCCTGGATTTGTAAGAGTGGATGCTTCAGGCTGCAAGGCAGTTAGTCATGTGTGGCTTTGCAGGAAGCAACTCCTTGGCAGCAAGTGCCCTTTTCATTCCCTGAGAAAGATGTAATGTGGTTCACGGGGTTAGGGCGACGATCAGAAGTTTTCAGTTTTTGTTTCAAACATCAGATTCAGTCTGCTGGCCACTAAATATGCGATTCCAAAACATTCCATACAGGAATCAATGACAATTATGAGCAAGGAAAGAAGAATATGAGGAAAAAAAGAGGAGAAACCTGCCCGGGGCTCATTTCCTTGGAAACAAACCTAAGTCCTTAATTTAACTCAGTACTTCTCAAACTTTTATTTATGTTAGGATCATCTGGTGGGTTTGTTAAAATGAGATTACTGGACTGCCAACATCAGCGATTCTGTACATCTAAGTGGGAAGCCCAAATCTGTACTTCTAAGATGTTCCCCACTGATGCTGATGTACTAATCAGTTGATCATACACTGAGAACTGCAGGTTCAATTCATTGTCAGTGTTGGGTTCTGCTTAGAGATTTAGAGAGTCTGATGAGGGCATTCATTTGTTCATTCATTCGCTAAATATTTAGTCAGAATATACAAAGGGCTAATACTGCACAGACTAATGGCTCTCAAATTTCGGTGAGTATTGGTGGCACCTGAACAGCTGATAAAGCTCACAGAAAACCCAGCCTCACTGAAGTAGGACAGGACCTGGTTTTCTGTATTGTTATAAAGTTCTCCACTGAATTCTGGAACTCAATGAAGTTTGAGAAGCGCCAGCATAGGTGATGAAAATAAAATGTGAACAGTGTCCTTGCATTTAAGTAGCTTACTCTAGTTGAGGCAGAACTGGAGAAGAGAGCAAAATTAAACACAAACGTGAAAACTCCCAAGCACTACATAAGTCATAGCTTAATTAACTGGTTGCACAGCAGACGGTGAAGAGAGCACCATCCACCACACAAAGCTCAGAGGGACGTGTCTGCAGAGAGCTAGAGACAGCATGTGGGCACCTGGACACGGCAGGCTTTCCAGAGAATGGTGAACTGTTCCTGGAGCGAGGGAATGGGGAATGAAGTGTTGTGTGGACACCAGAGGATTCTGAGGTCAGTCCTCAAGAATTCCGCGTTAGGTAACCCTCCTTTTCCAAGAACTTCTCAAGTGCTCGCTATGTGTCAGGTACCCTATTAGGCCATAGTATCAGTAAGATAAGTGAGGAAGGAGACCTTGATGTATAGCCTAGTTCAGCAGGTAATAAAATTCAGTCATGCATATCCTATGTGAAAGGAATTCTTGAAGCTTTGTGGGAGGTGAAACTTGCCTTGCTTAGAGGAGCCTAGGGATTGTTTATTGTTTGTGTAAAAATCAAGGTATGTTCTTTTTTTTTTTTTTCTTTCAGTTCTGGAGGTTGATTGAACCAAAGGCCTTTGTATGGAGACACATTCCCCTGTACCCTTTTAGTATTAATTTCGAGACAAGGTCTTACAGCTAGCTGCTCAGGCTGCAGTCAATATTGGGATACCCCAGTTTAGCCTCCCAGAGTTCTGGGATTACTGGGATTACAGGGATATGGCACCACACCCGGCTCAAGTTATGTCTTAAAGAATTTCAGCTGAAGGAAGCAACATGTTCGAAATTATGGAGATTTTTACTAGCATGGTGAGTTCAGGGGGAGCTGGGTTTTTAGGGTAGCAACAGGCTTCATATGCCATGCTAAAGATTATGGACATTGTCCTTTCAGCAAAGTGACTCTGTATAATTTTAATTAGCCAAACTGAACATGTCTTTAAAGGATGATAAATCTTGAGATACTAAGAGTTGGCCTAAAAGGAAGAGGGTAGCACAGACATTCCTTTATAATAAGCTGAATGATAGATGATGAGGTTCAGCATTGGCGACAGAGAAGAAAGGCACTTAGATACATATTTCTGAGTTCTGCATTATAGGACCCTATTGCCAAAGATGCATGAGTGTAATTTATTGTGCGCATTTTGCAGTATCTATAATACTGGCCTGGTGTTTGGGAAGAAGATAGGACTGGAAATACCTAAGAGAGTCATCCATTTAAGGATGTTGGACGAAAGCAATATGAAGATCAACCAGGAAGAGCATGCAGAACAAGAAGACCAAGCAAAAGTGAACCCCTGGGGTCACTCCAGTTGAAGAAGGACATGTTGTAAGAGGAGATGGGCTGAGCAGAAGAACAGAGTAGAATGTTGGGTAAGCCAGGAGTTTTCAATAAACTCTGAACAGGGAACCTGTTAAGGGATGGCTCTGGGAAATGTTCTTAAATGATGTATTTGCCTTAGTAATGGATGACATCCTTGTTTAACTTCATAACTCAGGTTCAGGGAAAGCCTAACTGAGGCTCAGATACCTAATGAAATAAAGCACCAAAAATTCCATTTATTGAGTGTATTTATGCAAGGCCCTGTGCTAGACACTTTGTGGATCATTACACAATATATACTTTATGTAGGTATTGTAATTATCTATATTATTATATGAAGAGTACCTCACACATACAGCTGTAAAGTATTTATATATGGCCATTGGCCATTTAACAATAGGGATATGTTCTGAAAAATGCGTTGTGAGGCGATTCTATCATAGAGTGTACTTACACAAACTCAGATGGCAAAGCCTACTACACACCTGGGCTGTATGGCATACATATTGCTCCTAGGCTATGGTACTGTACTGAATACTGTAAGCACTTATAACACAATGATAAGTATTCAGATATCTAAACAGAAAAGGTGCAGTTGGAATTGCATTATAATGTTAAGGAATCACCTTAATATATGCGGTCTGTCATTTATTGAAACACTGGTATAGGAAACATGACTTTAATATAAATCCTACTCATATGACTTTGTAGATATTTAAAAAATCACATTCAGCAGCATTTCTATGATTTTTTCAGCAAATAAGTTAACATTTTATTTTGAACTGCCACTTGATAATACTGTAATGTCCCTGGGAACATCATTAGGATTCAGGTGACAAGTTATATCTTCATTGTTTTGAGGTAGAGTGTACTGAAACTACACATTTCTCATCTTAGTAGAAAATCTTTCAGAATTCATATGACATAGTTATTCTAATATTTTAACACATATATGTTATGTTCTTTTTTAAATAAAAAGGATAAGAAGTATAAAGAGTATATTTTTAATAAGTGCTAAAATGCCACTGTCATCATCTTTCTTCTCAATTTGGTCTTCAGAAATAAGTTTTGAAATCTAAGGGTGTGAAATGTCTTCATTTTTGCCAAATAGAATCAACTTTATGTATAAGCCAGTAATAAATAAAATTATTTGGCCTTTTCTTAGAAATCAGTGGAACGTCTGAAGAAAGGAGCTTTCAATGAGTTTGAAGGTGGCTTCTAAGATAACCATGTGGCATGACTCAGGGACCTGAGAAGCTACCTGCTCACCTGTCTGACCTGTGCTCCTTCTCAGTACCCACAATCTCATGCTATTGCATGAACTGATCTGCACCCAGTGAGGGAGCTGCTTCAACGTAGCCCCCAAGGAGATGTCCTTAGGTTGGGGGAGGATACCCTATTGTTCCTCCCACAATCTCCCCTCTTCACTTGATGTTGAGAGGACCTAGAGGGGCAGACCATGTGGAGGCTCATCCAGGTCTTGCCTGAAAGCTCTTGGTCCAACAGGGGCTGTGGAAATGAAACTGGTAACTGGATAACTCAACAGACAGTGTGACCTGGAATGTCCTCGGCTCTTTGCAGTAGGGCTGGTGACTTTCAGGAAGGGTGGCACAGTTGTACTGCCTCTTGAAGCATCATAGAAATTCTGAGTAGGATAGCCAGAGGTAGGATTATAACAGGTCACAGGGATGTATGGTAGAGTTTCGATCAAATTTAGAAAAAGTGTTTCAGAGGGTGCATGACCCTGGAGAGAAGTTGAATCACTGGTCAGGCACCAGTGAAATGAAGTGGTGAACCTTATCTTACACAGAAAGTTCTGAGAAAATGTGAGAACTGGGGTATCACTGAAAGGAGAAAGGGAAGCACCCGAGATGTGTTTCTGTCCATTGTTAGAGTCAAGTGTTTCCTATGTGTCAACTGATGTGTGATCTAATACTGAGAAGAGGCTAAAGGAAAGCAGGTCCGTGGGAAGATCATGAGGGTAAGAGGCAGGCCTCTGAGCAGGAAAGTAAAATGTTCCCAGGGTGCTGGCAACAGAAAGTTTAATCCTCTGTGGTGTAAGCACTTTGGGTTTCCCTTTGGAGGTTGCCTGACTCCCAAAGACCTGTCTTTTTGACGCCTTTAGGTGGAACCCTTCACGCGGCAGTGCCAGAGGCTAGGATTCCCCAAGACACCTTGCATGAGCCCATGGAGGAAGAGGACCGTTACCGAGGTTCTGTGAGGTGAATCAGAGCCGCTGCCAGAGCTTCCCTTCTTTGTTCGCTGGGCCAGGGAAGTGCCAAAACGGAGGGCCTCATAGACAGGGTCCACCTTATTTCCACAGGCTGCAACAGAAGAGAAGGACCATTTGAGAAGGCTCATCTGAGAGGACCCAGCCAACCTCCTACCCCAACTCCTGGGTCAACAGAACCCGAGAAGTAGGTTCTGTGCTCTGAAGGTCCTAAGTTATCTATCTGCAGAATTCCAATTTTACCGTTCTTATTAAAGAGGAGTTTTATTTCTTCTGGTGACAGGCTCTGCTTGTCAAGGTACAAAGTCTTGAGATACCAAGTTTGTATTAGATGGCAAGTATTTTCAAAAGAAGTTGAAGTTACCAGGCCTCATAAATATCTAACTACAAGTTTTCTAGTTTATAAAGTTCTGTTTAAATCTGGCCCCACTAAAAAGGCAAAAATAGGTGTAGAGAGCTGCAGAGAAAGATAAAAGATCAGAGCAAATTGAAAGATACTGTAAAAGAAGAAATTAAGTCAGACATATGTATAAATATAGGGCATTTTAAGTCCTCATTAAAGATTAACCAATATTCACTGAGTTCCCACTCAGCGTTGGTTTATAACATATATTTATTTTTTTACAACAATTATGAAAAGCATCTACTGGGTTCTCATTTGTAGGATCTGACAGGTTGAATTATTTGCTCAATCCACAATTGGTCACTGGTAGTCCTGGGCTCTGCACCAGGTCTGTGGACTGCCACGTTCCATGATTTTTCTGCACATGGTTGGCAAAGCATTTCAGTAACTTTGAGTCTTGGGTGTGTTTCATCAGAGAGAGGTTGAAAATTCTTGGAGAATTTGGCCCAACTTGTGTTTCCTCTCCAGCAAACAATTATAATCCACATAACCAATAACAAATGCACTGAGACATCCTTCTGATTTTCCAGTTGTTGGAGGACAGTAGTCATTGCTGACTTCACTGTTCAAAACTCAACTCAAACATCAGTGTCCTGACTCACCAATGGGCATAACTTCTTTAATGCATCCAAATTGTTCATGAATGAGCAAGGGCGAGCTGTAGTAACGCCGAAATCCCTTTGGCTGGCGAGAGAATGAGAAAGAAGAGGCTTATTATCATCAAGGAGATGAAGAAAACTACCCCAAAATCCTAAAATGAGTCTTACTAGTTTCTTCCTTTAAGATACTGACATCTTATTAATTCTATAATTCACTACTGATGGGAATGGGGTGCAGATAATAGATGGCATTGAACAAATTACACTCCACCCAGAAAGCAAGCTCCAGATCCTACCTAGCTTCTCTGACCCCTGTGTGTTCCACAGCCTCCACTATGTACAGGATCCCTATTATCTCTTAGGATACAAACTGACTCCCTTGCATTCTTACTTCATAGTTTATTGTTGTGGATTATTAAAATCATACAAGGCCCGGGAATGGGAAAGCAGACCTCAGGGTAGGCCTAAAGCAGACCTCTGGCTTCACCCAGAATCATTTGTTTTGCTTTTGAGATTCTGTTTATCTGACCCCTTATCCATGGTCTTTGCCATAGCCTTTGAGAATGGCCGTCAGAGAAGGAGATGGGAACAGGTGAGGTAAGAGTTTGAGACCAGAGGACACTGCAAGTTAGAGTAAGCAGATGAACTTTGTAAGAATCTGGACTCACTATATCCTAGTGTCAGAAGGGAACTTGATGGCCTGGGTTTCACTAGAATCCTAGAATCCTCTCCAGTGTTTCTGGTGCTATGTCCTCCTTTGTCTGAACATTATCAGTAGTGATGGGAGGATAGTAGCGGTATGTGAATGAGGGGAAGGAGCACTTCTTAACTCTAGAACAGATCTTCAGTGACATTATCTCTGAGTGTTAAGACTTGGCAGGCACCTACTTATTCTAGTCTTTCACCTAGAGCCAGAAAAGATAATTGAATTGCTTTTCTGTGATTGGTCTTGTATTTTCAAAAGCAGTTGTTCCATGTAATTATTCTATAGAGCACACATTCTAGGTACAACTCTTTGGTCATCTCAGTTACAAATATTCTCCACTGTGCTCTGAATAACTTTTGATCAAGGTGTGTGGCCAAAGGACTGAAGTTCATGCCCCTGAAATAGTAGGATCATCCCAAAATGTGCCAAAACAGTCCTACTTTCTCTTAGTCTGGACAACATGACTCTGTTAAGGTGGTGTACACTTTCACTCCTCTGTCTTCTTTTGTAGATGTTAGCTGTAGTCCTCTCTTGACATGCCCTGAACTGACAAAGTACTGGATGACAAAGCATTCTAGTTTGGCCGGGGCTGAGTGTGTTCCTGGGATGTATGAATTTCACTTTGCAAACCTGGACAGCCCCAGGATGAGGCATTTGTGATAAAAGTGAGAAAGTCCTAGTGTGGAAGAAGCCGCTCATTTCTCTTAAGGAGCTGACTCTTTTCCAATGTGGGGCATTTGGCTCTAGGATAAATACAGTTCCTCCTCAGCTCTATCATGAATCTGCCAATCAGGAAGCCACGTGGGCAGACCAGGGTGCCTTCAAGGCTGCAGAGAGGAGTTTGGAGGAAGTAACTTCACTCAAGCAGGGAGCTGTAGTACTCCCTCTTCACACAATTCCTTACCAGCTTGCCCATGCATCGCTGGGGCGCTAGGCCGTCTGTACACTTGTGGTGGATGCTCATCTTACAGGCTTTGCAGCGTAGTCCATGTTTAGCATTTGTTCCTGTCAGGCACATGGCAAACTTTGATTAAGATGCAGCCTACCCTTTCTTGAAATCCTTGAAAAAAATGTCATTGCTATAACCAGATAATTGTTTCCTGTGTCTTTTTCATGAAACTTGCAAATGGAAAAATGTATTGTCTTACATGCTTTCATATTTTTCTACCTACTGTATTGGACCTGGTTTCTCTTCCTTTCTTTCCTATTCATGACTCCAGAACCTAAGCCTTCCCTACTTTCTTTGTTCATAGCCAAATCCACTTTCTTTACTATTCATATGGGCCATTATTTCTGCTTCTCTGTGTCTTGTCCTAACACTTCACCAACTACTACCCCTCTTCCTTTCACCGTATCTGAGTTCTTGAACAAGATCGAGGAAATGACTGATAAAGGGTGAATTCTGTATGAGGCCGCCCACAAAGATCACCGGGACAGGCAAGGTGATTCCAATAAATTAGTCTCTGGAATGCAGATACAAGAATATGCCCTCATAAAGGGAGACATGAGGTCACAGGTATCCCACCAAATATCACAGCTGATTAAAGACCCAGAATGAGGATACTCCAAGATTAAATATAAATTTCACCTTTTTTTCTACCACTCTCTCCTTATGTTAGCTGCCCTCATCCTTTAATCTTTTTCTACCCTTTTTTGTTTAACCCAATATATTTTATCCCAGGGGCCAGCATAACCTTTTAAAATGTAATTGAATAAGTTCTCTCTCTTGCTTAAACATCGTTCAACATTTTCTGAATATCAGATGTTGTAAAAACTGTTCATCATGGCAGTAAGGCATTGTACAATTTGGTGGGACCCACATTAACTTTCTCTCAGGCCAGCCTCTCTTGTTCACTAGATTTTAGCCATGTGAACTCTTTTTAGTTCCTGAATGTACGAGCTCTCGAATTCCCCAGGATCTTTACACATCCTACTCTATATGGCTGGAATACTGTTTTTAATCATTCTGCACATCACTAGTGCACATTTACCTAGGTAGTGACTGATCGAATCCTGGTTCAGTCTTAAGGAATCTGGAAGTTATAATCTCAGGGAAAACCACTCTTCAGAGTTCCAGATGATGGAACTTCTATTCATCTCACCAGTTAATTTTTGTGTGGCTCAGAGGTCAAGTATCTTATCCAAGGTCTCAAAGATAAAGACTATTATCTAATTTTTTTTTGTGCAATAGGCTTAACTTTTTCCATGCCACCATGCTGTCTTCATAAATTTACATATATATGTAAATTTATATGTAATTTATTTACATAACTATATATGTATATTTACATATATATTTACACACACACACACATATATATATATCTCCAGATACAAACATCGGAATGTAGGGTAACTTATGCATAGAATTTATAAAACAACTGTCCCATTTTTTGTACTTTTGTATTTTACATTTATACTTCTCTACTCTAGCTGCACTCTCCCTTTAAAACAATCAACTGAGATGAGAACATTATTTTTATTAAAAGAGAACTGTCCTTCAATGTCATTTTCAAAATAAAAAAAAATAAGTCCCTCAATAGGTGCATAACAGAACTAGAAACAGCAGTGTTACTTGCATTGGTTTATATGTTTGCAGCCTTGACTCCTAATGAATCACTGATTGTGAAAGTAATCATCAGTTTACAAAGTTTGGCAATAGCATGTACTATTGGAAAGAACTCTCCAGTTCTCACCCTTTGATGCTGCCTGTTTTTAAGAGCTTGTGCTACAGACTAGTAGATCCTATAGTTCCTTATTTGAATCTGTTACAAGGAAGCCACATCTCTATAATGGCAAGCTCATCCTGAGAATGTCAGCTCATTTGTTGGCTATGAGAACCTCTTTACATGTAATCCACCAAAATGTGATCAGAAATCTTTAGAAGAAGAGGCATTCTGATCACATTCCTGTTGGAATAGGACAGTTGCAGCTGAAGAATCTTCTCGGGAAAACTTTGGTACCTAGAAATTCTTGTTGCTTCTCTTCACACCCTCATCTTCAATGACCATGATTGTACACTTGTATTTTAATTTTATAATTATCAAAGACAACCAGGCTTGAGAGGGTTGTAAGTGCCCTTCTGATCTTACCTTTTCAATTTCAGGGGAAAAAATCTGGATAAGATTAGAATATAGATTTACTGACATGTAAAAGTTTCAGAAAGAAAGGAAGAGAGCTAAGCTTCAGAATTGTGGAGATCCAGAATGGTCCTGTCTCTTTCCTCACTAGCTGCATGCCCTCAGACCTTAAGTCACTATCAATAAACATGAGGGAAAAAATCTTTATCTTACAGCATTATTGAGAGGAAAAAAGAGTTCCAAATCTGAGCTCCACAGCTAGTGAGTTACATGGATAACATCTGTTCTTTTTTCCAATGAAATTTCCAGTTGTCATCACTGCTTCTTCTAGATAAAATAACTTTTCTTTTTTTTTTTTTACCCTGGGACCGGGAATTGAACTCACGGCCTTGCACTTGCCAGGCAGGTGCTGTGCCGCTGAGCTAAATCCCCAGCCCCCATAACTTTTATATATATAACACAATGTTCATTTATTCATAAAGTGAGGAGAAACACAAGCAATTGTCTAACAGCACACAAAAACTCAGTGATTTTTAATTCTTTCCTGCAGAATCAGGGTAAGAACTTACATTTCTAATATCTAGCACAATGTTCTTTCCTCTCATGTATGTGTTCGTGAGTGCACATGTACGTTTATATATTCACAGAAAACTTGTCTTAGTTCTACTTCTTCCTGTATTAACTTTTTCTTTAAAATCATCCTTTGTTTCTGCAGATTCATGTCCAGTGATTTCATTTAGCTTACCTGGGTTTATGTGACTTTAGAATCTTAAGAACTGTCTCCATATCATTACATTATATCAAAGAGAAGTAATATATGAAGGTAATGGAAATATATTCCACGTTCTGTTTATATTTTTACTCTATTATGGAGGATTGGATTTTTAAAATCATTCTGTGATTAGCTTCCTGAAACCACACATTTTTAATAGCAGCACTAAAAATGTAGAATTAGGCATTTATTTGATTGTAGAAATCACTATTCAACATGTGATCAATCAGGCTGTCACTGCTTTTGCTTTGAATCAGTACATGAACATACAGCTAAATTGTTATATTTGCACACTCCTATAGTTAGGTATGTTTCACAGGTGCTTTTAGGTTATAGATACAAAACAAAAAGCATTGGTGAAAATATGAAATCTCTCTCTCTGAAGCATAGCACGGCATTCACAGAGGATATCATGGGTCATCTGAGGAGACATGGTGAAAACTCATCATAAGGAGGAAGCAGAAGACACTATAAGCTGTCACCTGGAAGAAATCCACAAGAAAAGTCACAGAAGTTGAGTCAACTAACTTGATTCTAATCTGAAGTCATCAGCGTCTGTTTTGTGAGGGGTATGGAGAACCAGTAGCAGAGACTGAAGGAATGATTCACAGAGTCAGATTTTAACTGGCTTTCTAGGTCAGGCAGGCATCTCATAGAATAGCATCTGGCCTGGAAGGTAGGGCGCACTGGTGCTTCAAGAGCTCTGGGTCCCAACAAACCAGGATAAAGTCACCTTGGAACACTGGTATAAAAGTCAAGATGAGTAAAATGTGAATCCATACTGTCAAGATGTTCACACAGTCCGCAGGAGCCAGGGACCCACAGAAAAGTGTAGCTATTTCCATAATGTGAGCGGAAGTTAGCCCCAGTGTTTTCTTAGCCTGGTCACTTTTCTGGTCCACGTCCGGGGAATCTGATTTTTCATGAGAGACAATAATGCACCTTGTGCCAAGCATTTTGTTGGTCACAGGAGATGCAAGAGTGGACTATTAACTGTTCCGTGCCAGGGCCCACACATAATAGAGAAGATGGCTTATTATGATAGGTGTTCTTGAAACAGTGAGGGTCAGAAGAGGGTGGTGTGCTCTGGGGGTATGGAGGAAGGAAAGATGTGTGAGGAGGGGGCTTTGGAAAGTACTTAGAGTTTGTCCATAGATTAGAAGTTGTCTACCATTTGAACAAGAAAGGCAGAGGGAGACCCCATGAGTAGCTCTCAAGCCTTACTAGGAACCACAAAAGATCTCACAGAGCAAAGGAGGGGCCCAAGGTTTCATGCTGAAAAGGAGGCAAGGAAAGTTGTCTACGATCCCACTGTGGAAGGCTTTACTGGCTATTACATGTAGTTCTCTTTTGCTCATTGTGTGAGTATGTATTCAAAGACAAAGGGCTCATGAATAATATTGCTGCATTATGCCTAGCAACACTTATGTTATAACTTTTAGTTTTAAAATACTAACCAAATCATCTTTACTATTCTTTGTATAGATCTTAGCCCTTAAATGACACTGGTTTGCTCCAGCACCAAGAAAACGCACCCATTGCCTTTGCTGTCATATCTCTGGCTTCGAGACTCTTCAGGGACATGGCCATTCTCTAGGTTCTGCACACTCTTGGTACAGGTATCCCTAATAGTCTCCTCTCCCAGTAGCCAACAGGTAAACCGATAAGATCAGGAGCCTGGAAAATCTTTGGACCATATTTCCTCTGAGTCATTTGTAGGTATTTTATATAATCTGAGAAATGTTCATGGATACACAGTAGTCACGCGTTAACCACAGTTTCACTCTTTAAAGTTTCTGTACCTGCCCATTAGTCGCATAACAGTCATCTTGGTTATCGCAGAGACTGCCGTGTCTCACAGTGATTATGTCATCTTGGTTATCGCAGAGACTGCCACGTCTCACAGTGATTATGTCAT